TCTCCATTTTAGAAAGGAGGAAGCTGAAGAGCGAGTAAGTTAACTTGCTCAGTATTACTTCACTAGAAAGTAGGGGAGTTGATATTAAAAAAAAAATCTACCACATATTCCTGAGACCTTTAGTTTTACATAGAGCTCTTTTCCCACAAACTACTTAGATGGCTGATTAAGAGTAGTGGTAAGTTATAAAGGAAGTGGTGTAACAAAAAAATATCTAGGGCCTCTGGGATAAGAAGGAAAACCTTGGGGACTGAAGGGCTTGAAGGAACTTTAAGGTCAGTTAACAAATGGCATGTCAAAGGTATTATACAAAGAAGAATGAAAATACTTATAAAGTGGACTACAGTCTTGAAGAAGAATTGGGGGATCACTTTTGAACCTGCCACTAAATGCAGTGTTATTTATTGCAGGAAATGATTAATGTTACTCAGCAAGAACCATACTTCTGGAAGTCTAATGTAGAGAGGATTAAAGCATAATGGGCCTTGTAGTCAGACTTCTGGATCAGACTTTCAGCTCTGCTACTTAGTAGCTATGAGATCTCTGGGAAGTTTCTTAACTTCACTATGCTTCCGTTTTCTCATCCACAGAAATCAGAAATAAGTACTTTCATCAAAGTTGTTGAGAGGATTAAAATAATATAGTTAAAATGCAAAGATCAATAGCTGACTCAATGTAATATGTAAACATTTGCTATTTTATTATTTTATAAATGACAGATGAAAGCTTGATAGTCAATTTTTTTTTTTTTTTGGGGATGGAGTTTCTGTTGCCAGGCTGGAGTGCAATGGCGTGATCTTGGCTCACTGCAACCTCCGACTCCTGGATTCAAGCGATTCTCTTGCCTCAGCCTCCCAAGTAGCTGGGATTACAGGCACGTGCCACCAAGCCTGACTAATTTTTGAGACGGGGTTTCACCACGTTGACCAGGATGGTCTCAATATCCTGACCATGTGATCCGCCTGCCTCGGCCTCCCAAAGTATTGGGATTGCAGGCATGAGCCACCGTGCCCGCCCTTTTTATTTTTGGAGATGGAGTCTCACTCTGTCACCCAGGAGTGCAGTGGCACAATATAAGCTAACTGCAACCTCCGCCTCCCGGGTTCAAGTGATTCTCTTGCCTCAGCCTCCCAAGTAGCTGGGATTATAGGTGCCCACCACCGTGCCCAGCTAATTTTTGTATTTTTAGTAGAGACGGGGTTTCACCATGGTGGCCAGACTGGTCTTGAACTCCTGACTTCAGGTGATCCACCCGCCTTGGGCTCCCCAAGTGCTGGGATTGCAGGCGTGAGCCACTGCGCCTGGCCTTCATAATCAAGTTTTAAAAGCAGGACATGAAAAGGAGTGAAAGTTAAGAAACCTTAGCTGTAGTGTTTGGAAGTAACACTTGGGAAGTCATTACTGACAAATAGAGAAATATAAATATGTATATATAACTGATATAAAACAAATTAGATTTTGACATTAGAAACATATATACACATACTGTAATATGTACTTTCTTCATTTTATTTAACCTATATTCTGGTTTTAAGTTTCCTGAAGCCCATGGAGTAATGGGACGGGAAGGCTCAGAGGATCTCTTTATTGATAGTTAAGATACAAATAAAAATTAGGCCAGGCGCAGTGACTCACGCCTGTGATCCCAGCACTTTGGGAGGCCAAGGTGGGCAGATTACAAGGTCAGGAGTTCGAAAGCAGCCTGGCCAATATGGTGAAACCCCATCTCTACTAAAAATAGAAAAATTAGCCGGGCGTGGTGGCAGGCACCTGTAATCCCGGCTACTAGGGAGGCTGAGGCAGGAGAATCACTTGAACCTGGGAGGTGGAGGTTGCAGTGAGCCGAGATCGCACCACTGCACTCCAGACTAGGTAACAGAGCAAGACTCCGTCTTGGAGGCAGGGGGAAGATACAAAAAAAAATTGGGGGGAATCTTCAAATTTGTTAAGTGGTAGACACTTCCATATTTTATTAATACAGAATTCTTGTTATATGTTGGGATTACATGGCTTTTTTCACTTCTGTATTAGAGATGAGATGGGGAAAGTATGTCTTGAACAGTTTACGTCAGCATAAATACTTTCGTACCTTTATTGTTTCCTTTTGGAAGGTAAGAGGGTTGGATATTTACAGAATTGCTCATTGAGGACCAGGCTTTGATATTTACTTGCTCTAATGTTAGTTGGCCAATCAGAATTATCTGCATTTAACTAAAACCATCAGCATAAAGCAAGCTTACATAACCTACATTTATTTCATAGCTTAGTGATTACATTACATAGTCAGAATCCTGATTCTGCTATTTACTAGCTAAGTGGCCACAAATAAGTTATTTAAATCCTCTTGGCCTGTTTCTGTAGTTGTAAAATGAGAGTTACAGCAGCACCTACTACCTAAGATTTTGAGGTTTGAATGAGAAAATGCATGTAAAGCTTTGGGTATTGTGTATGATGTAAACACTCAAATGTTACTGAAGTCACTAAATGTTAGTTATTTTTTAGCACACTTCAGTGGGCTTATATCACCAGTCAAAATGATACACAGTATTTTATTTAATGGCTTTATGTAAATTGTATTTTACTAGCTATTAATAAATTAACTCCTGGAACTTTTGCCATGGTTAATTTGAAAAGTTGAAAATAAATGGAAAATCATAAAAATTCATCTGTTTTGGATTATACATAATAACCACTGTAGTGTTCAAATTTAAGATATTAATCATGGCTGGGCGTGGTGGTTCATGCCTGTAATCCCAGCACTTTGGGAGGCCGAGGTGGGCGCATCACTTGAGATCAGGAGTTCAAGACCAGCCTGGCCAACATGGTGAAACCCCATCTCTACTAAAAATACAAAAATTAGCTGGGCATGGTGGTGGGCACCTGTAACCCAAGCTAGTTGGGAGGCTGAGGCAGGAGAATTGCTTAAACCCACAAGGCGGAAGTTGCAGTGAGCTGAGATCACACTACTGCACTCCTACCTGGGCAACAGAGTGAGACTCTGTCTCAAAAAAAAAAAAGATACTAATCACGTACAAACTAATGTTCTCTTTTAAATATTTCCACATTAACAGAAGAACTGAGCTTAGATAGATATAGTCCTACCTCTAAATCTTCATCTTCATCAATGTTTTGTATATTCTGGTAGGCAGCAGTGTAGACCTCTAAAGCTTTGCCGTGAAATAACATTTCAATTGTGATAAATTCAGAAAATATAGTCTAAAAAAAAACAAAGAATTGAATTTAAACAATGATTTAAATTTCTTTATGAATATAGTAACTTTATTCCCCACTATAGTCTTGGTACTTTATAAAATACAGAAGTATCTGTTTTTCTACAGGGCAAATAAAGTACAAAAGATAACTGAAAGAGAAACAGTTGTGAAGACCTTTTGCTGCCAAACCTTCAAATTATACAAAGTATTTCCTTTATCACCATTCACTTCCATCTTATTTTTTATTTTAGTTAGTTCTCTTTATACTTAGTAACTGACATTTATAATAACAGAAGATCTGACTAAAATGTATGCTACTGTATACTTTTAATACCATATGCTTATTAAGTATTAGAGCAGTTCAGTTATGAAGCTGGTGTTTTAGCAATTCCAACTGAGGTTTAAACAGTAGAACATTTTTTCAACAGGAATTATGTTCCACACTATATGCTACTTGTATTCTCTAAACATAAAGGAGTTACTTGGTAGTAATGACACTCCTGCCACTGATGATAATACCATGTATTTGCATAGAGCGTTCCAGTTTACAGATATTGACTTGCCCAGTGTTGCTCACAGATAAGACTCTTTAGACACAGATCTGATTCTAAGGCTATAAGGTTATAGCTCATTTAAGGTTTTTCTGCTATTGCCCACTGAACTGTGCTGTTCTTGCCGGAATCAATAATTTCCTTCACAGATAAACTGTGCAGGTAACCTCTATATAAGCATGATGGAAACTTATGACAAGGAAGATCATGAACAAAAAGTATGAGTGAAGATGTGCAGGTTGATCTGAGCAGGGGGTGAGGTAATCAGTGGATAGGGAAAAGATGGAAACCAGGCAAGTTTCTAATAAACATGATCGTATCATCTTGTTAATTATAACAAAATAAGCAATGTAGAGAGAACTGGGCTGAATAAGAACAAGGCAGAAAATACTCAAGCATGGACTATATTAGAAGGCTAGTCAAATACACATTTCCCTTCATCCCTGCTCTCCTAAGATAACCCAGAAAAGAGTGGTCATATACTTTGGAGGACAGCCATATAGATAATTATCAGTGGCCTGTGATTCTTCCCTCCAGCCCCATTCTTTCCTAGATGATTAGAAAAACACTTAAGGGAGCATTAAGAGGCTTTGATTGCTACTCAGTGATATATGTCATTCTAACTGAGAGGACAGGGCCTAGGTTAAAAGAGACTTGTAACTGTGATTCACAATCACCCTTATTGTCACTTCATGTAAGTTAGAGAGGGCTCAGGTATACCAGGCTGGCAACTGACTGATAAACGGCCTTATGCTAAAATACAATTTTGGATTTCATATTAAAGTATCTCTAGATACCCAGGAATACTTTAGAGGAGGAATGGCTTCTGACCAGGGCTGGGATCTACTCTTAGTTGTTAGTGTCCTTATGATAGTTGCAAACCAGAAAGGAGTCAGGTTTTCTTGAGTGTGGAAACTCCTAGAGGGAAAACTGAACTAAGAGTTGATGATAAGCCAAAACACCCATTTTTAATGCTCAAGAAATAAACTAGTCAGGCACAATGGCATGTGCCTATAATCCCAGCTACTTGGCAGGCTGAGGCAGGAGGTTCCCTTGGGTCCAGGTGCCCCAGACCAGCTTGGCAACATTTGGAGACTTCTGTCTCAACAAGAACAACAAAGTCAACTAGCTAAATTGGACATAGTGACTAACAGTAAAGCCTCTATCTTGTTTGATTAACAAAGATCTTTGACGAAAAGGTTTTAAGAACATTTTGGCAAAGAGGAAATGACAGCTCTCCAGAGTATAGGATATAAAGGATGTCAGGAGAACTGTCTACCCATTTGAAAATTAAAGTTATATATCCATGTCATAACACTGCAAAACACAGCTGCCAGCTCAATATTTAATGTTTAAAATATGTTAAAAATCAAGAAAGTATAAGCAATACTTATATAACCTAGGGGATGAAAACCTTTCTAAGCATGACACCAAGGAAGAAACCAAAAAGAAGACAGATAGATCTGGCAATAAAAAGAAAAGAGGTGGCAAAAACACTGTAAGCAGTAAAATGAGAAAAGACATTTGCAACATACTTTCTCTTTCATTTGAAGGGCTAATTGTCTCAATATAAATAATTTTTAGAAATTAGTAAGAAATTCCAACATCCAACAGAAATATAGGTTAAGGAAAAATATAATTTACTAAAGAAATGTATTGCTAAATATATTTAAAAAGCTCAGCAGTAATAATGCAAATGATACTGATTTTTTACCTATCGTCCTATTAAAAATACTGCAACTTATGGTGTCAACATTGTCATATAAAACAAACAAAAAACACATCAGGTGCAGTGGCTCATGCCTGTAATCCCAGCACTTTGGGAGGCCGAGGCAGGTGGATCACCTGAGGTCAGCAGTTCTAGACTACCCTGGCCAACATGGTGAAACCCCATCTACTAAAAATACAAAAATTAGCTGGGCATGGTGGTGCATGCCTGTAATCCCAGCTACTCGGGAGGCTGAGGCAGGAGAATCACTTGAATCCAGGAGGCAGAGGTTGCAGTAAGCCAAGATCATGCCACCATACTACAGCCTGTGTGACAGAGCGAGACTCCGTCTCAAAACAACAACAACAAAAAAACCAAACAAACTCATCATTGTACCTGTGCTTATGCAAGGTTTAGTAGGAATGTAAACTGGTTTAACCTTTGTGGACAGAAGTTTTAAAAATATATATTAACATTAAAAGTGTATGCTCTGAAGGAGGAGCTCCACATCTGGTAATTTATCTCAAGAGAATAACTGGGCTAGCAGTTAAGGCTGCTGTTTAACGATGTGTAATGATGCAGTGACAACTACAATTGCAAAAATAACCTAGACATTCACCAATGAGGACTGGTTAAATGAACTAGTATAACCATACTGCAGAATATCATAAAGATAACAAAAAATAATATGGATCTGTTTCTTGGCATAAATATATCCATAAGTTTTAAGAAGAGATGCTATATATACGGTGGTCCCATTAATGTATAACTGTCAGGGCTAAAAATAGTACCTTCCTCATAATGATGTTTTGAGGAATTAATGAGTTTATTCATGCAAAATGCTTAGAATGGTACCTGGCACACAGTCAGTGTTTAAGAAATGTTTGTTATTGTTATTACCATGTCTCTGTATATAT